TGTTTCCCGTGTTTTTTTTTTCATGTTGTCTTAGATTTTGGTCTTTCGTTTTGTTTTCCTAATTGTTTATCTTTTTGAGTTCTGTTTTTGGTTACACAAGGATTGTTTAACTTATTTTTGTTGGTACATTTTTATCTATCTTCGTTTGTTTGGGTTTAATTTTCTTTATAGGATAAATTTACATAGTGTGGCTGGATTTATTTGTTTCTTTATTATTTTGACTTATTCATCCAGCATGTTTTGATTTTTCCTTACATTTTTGTGCTTTTTGTGTAAATCTTTACTGTTGTATTTTTTTATTATTATTATTGTTGTTGTTGTTGTTGTTTTATTTTCTCTTTAATTAATTTGGTTTAAGATTTAATTGTTTCCTCCCTTTAAGGTGGAATTTAGTTGCTTTTTCTTCGTTTTCATTTATCAACTTTATACATTTTTTGTGTGTTTTGTTTATCTAATAATTTACTTGTGTAACTGATTTATATTTTTGTTTAATTGCAGGCCAGTGGTCCGACTTTAAGGCCGGTGACAGAGCCAGAGCTCCCTGGGGTGGGAGGCTAATTTTATTGGACATTTTAGAATTTCTCACAGTGTGTAGTGATCACTGTGTGCTGGTTTGTGCGTGTGGGTGCTCTCTTATTTTTACACAGGGGATTGTAGTGGTTTTCACTTGCCTGAAGTATAGCCTGGCCACTTTCCCTAACGCTGGCAAGCTCTGGCCCTGGGGCACCTTCATAAATTTACAAACTGTCATGTCAATGTCGACATATTGGTTTTAATCCTGTTTTTATTTGAGATTTGAAAATAAAGAAATCTATTTTTGTACCGTGCCAATGTCTCTGACTGCACTTTGGTGGAACGAACTTGTGCGTGCCTTTTTATATGGGTGGTGCGTGTATTTAAATTCTTTGGGTGAAATTCCCAAGGTGGCGTAGTCGGGTAAATCATTAATATTGTTAGATTGGAGGTTTAGCTCCATCCGCCCACCTGCCACCCGTCACATATGCATTGTTAGTAGATGCTTTTCTCCAAAGTGACTTACACCCATTAACACACACCTAGAGCAGTGGGCTGCCTAGGGAGCAGCAGGGGTTCGGTGCCTTCCTAATGGAATCACTTCAGCCGTGGTATTGAGGTGGATATTCATTCTACCAACAATCCCTACTGGTACTTTGACTCGAACTATTGGATCCCAACTCTCTAACCATTAGACCATGGCTGCCCCCATAGTCTAGTCTATTAGCTTATCATTGCTTCAGGCCTAGCACTGATGAGTGGAATTTCAAGAATTTGGATGTGTGTGTGGTGTGTGATGGAAAGAAATGGCTGTGTGTGAAAGGTGACTGTTGCTGGAGGGGATTCCCAAATTGATGAACATGGTAACATGCCCTTTTGTGGACAGTGTGGGTTGATGTGCTGGGTGCAGCTGGAAAACCTAATGCAGGGGTCACTTGTTCCTGGAGAGCTGGTGTCCTGCAGAGTTTAGCTCTAACCCTAATCAAGCTAATAATGTTCTTACCAGGTGTACTTGCAACTTCTAGAGAGGTGTGTTGAGGCAAGTTGGAGCTAAACTCTGCAGGGACACCAACACTTCAAGACTGAGATTGGTGACCCCTGTCCTAATGCTTTGATGTAGTGAACTGTTTTTAAATGCATGGGATTGGAAATCACATGCTGTCCAATATCCAGATCTCTTTTCTTTTATATTTATCAAATATTTATATCAAATATTTCTGATTTTGCCGTACCTTCCTTTCAAGGGGTAATTCACTATCTATCTATCTATCTATCTATCTATCTATCTATCTATCTATCTATCTATCTATCTATCTATCTATCTATCTATCTATCTATCTATCTATCTATCTATCTATCTATCTAAGCAGCTTTACAAATGGTGCACATCATTACATTAGAGTCAAAATCAGAAAGCTTAAGGAGTTGTGGTTACCTACGTTATACAGCATAGTGACCTTCCAAAACAAGAAAAATATTAGCATGTAATAATAATACATTACACTAATGTATGTAGTGTGTTTGTGCATTAAATGTTTGTTGTACTCAAGGTTCTTCGATGGTCAGCAAGATCTCAAAGTTCTCTAAGGGTTGGCATCATCTCATCACAGGTCTTGGATCTGAACAAGTGGCACTCCACCATATAGAGACAAATTCAATTAAACATTTTCGATACCAGAAAGGAAGAAGATGTCAATAAGGGCTAGAGCAGGGGTGCCCAATCTCGGTCCTGGGTGGCAGGTGTCCTGCAAAGTTTAGTTCCAACCCCAATCAGACACACCTGGGCTAGCTTAAAACTAGACCTAGGTTTCTAGAAACATCCTTACAATTGTGTTGAAGCAAGTTGTAGCTAATATCTGCAGGACACCAGCCCTTTAGGACCAAGTTTGGACACCACTGGACTAGAGGCTGTCCTGGGTGCTTTCTTGCATGTCGTCTTCAGTATATGTATAGTTTAAATGAGAACTGCTCAACCGCATGCCAGTATACAAAAGTTCACAACATTTTCCATACCAGAAAGGAAGAAGATGTCAAAATGGGCTAGAGCAGGGGTGCCCAAACTTGGTCCTGGGTGGCAGGTGTCCTGGAATGTTTAGGTCCAACCCCAATCAGACACACCTGGGCTAGCTAAAAACTAGACCTAGGTTTCTAGAAACATCCTTGCAATTGTGTTGAAGCAAGTTGGAGCTAATATCTGCAGGACACCGGCCCTTTAGGATCGAGTTTGGACACCCCTGGACTAGAGGCTGTCCTGGGTGCTTTCTTGCATGTCGTCTTCAGTATATGTATAGTTTAAAGGAGAACTGCTCAACCGCATGCCAGTATACAAAAGTTCACAACATTTTCCATACCAGAAAGGAAGGAGATGTCAAAATGGGCTAGAGCAGGGGTGCCCAAACTTGGTCCTGGGTGGAAGGTGTCCTGCAAAGATTAGTTCCAACTCCGATCAGACACACCTGGGTTAGCTAAAAACTATAGACCTAGGTTTCTAGAAACATCCTTGCAATTGTGTTGAAGCAAGTTGTAGCTAATATCTGCAGGACACCAGCCCTTTAGGACCAAGTTTAGACACCCCTAGACTAGAGGCTGTCCTGGGTGCTTTCTTGCATGTCGTCTTCAGTATATGTATAGTTTAAATGAGAACTGCTCAACCGCATGCCAGTATACAAAAGTTCACAACATTTTCCATACCAGAAAGGAAGAAGATGTCAAAATGGGCTAGAGCAGGGGTGCCCAAACTTGGTCCTGGGTGGCAGGTGTCCTGGAAAGTTTAGGTCCAACCCCAATCAGACACACCTGGGCTAGCTAAAAACTAGACCTAGGTTTCTAGAAACATCCTTGCAATTGTGTTGAAGCAAGTTGGAGCTAATATCTGCAGGACCCCGGCCCTTTAGGATCGAGTTTGGACACCCCTGGACTAGAGGCTGTCCTGGGTGCTTTCTTGCATGTCGTCTTCAGTATATGTATAGTTTAAATGAGAACTGCTCAACCGCATGCCAGTATACAAAAGTTCACACCATTTTCCATACCAGAAAGGAAGGAGATGTCAAAATGGGCTAGAGCAGGGGTGCCCAAACTTGGTCCTGGGTGGAAGGTGTCCTGCAAAGATTAGTTCCAACTCTGATCAGACACACCTGGGTTAGCTAAAAACTATAGACCTAGGTTTCTAGAAACATCCTTGCAATTGTGTTGAAGCAAGTTGGAGCTAATATCTGCAGGACACCAGCCCTTTAGGATCGAGTTTGGACACCCCTGGACTAGGGGTTGTTCTGGGTGCTTTCTTGCATGTCGTCTTTAATTTATGCATAGTTTAAATGAGAACTGCTCAACGGCATGCCATTATACAAAAGTTCACTATACAAAAGATATACATGAGGATACATTTCGTACAAAATAAATTGTTTAATTACAGAATTGTTATAATAAAAATAAAATAAACCTGTCCCATTTCAAATTAGTGTAAGTTTAATGGATAAACACAGCAGGGCTTAATTAAATGTTCAAACATGTTGAACATTGTTTAATTATCAAAATGACCTGAGAACAGTTAATTATACATTTAGGCCATGCCCACAAGCACACGGTTATTTTTATGTTTCAAGAGTTCACACTTAGCTGATGATTATTTATAAAGCATGTTTGGCATGATGTCTTGGGAGAGAGCCCTAAGCTCATAAGATCCTCGAGCCCGGGGCTCCCTCCTATTTGCAAAGCAAGAGGGGAGTTTGAGCTCAGGTAAATCTCGAGAACTCACCTGCTGTAGTGGCTAATGAACAGATAGTGATCACTCTTAAGAGATAACCATTTACTAGGAGCATGTCTATGATGCCGATTTGGATTAATCAATTAACTTAAGTTGCATGTTATTTGACGGTGGAAGGAAACCGGAGAACCCGGGGGAAATCCACGTGAGCACTGGGAGAATGTGTAAACTCCGCACAGAAATGTCGGCTGGCTTGGTAAGGACTAGAACCAGTGACATTCTTGCTGTGAGGCAACAGTGCTAAACACTGAGCCACCCATCTAGGATAGGAGGAGAAGAAGGGGTGGAAGGGGGGATTCTTCAAAACGAAGATGGCTGTGATATGGAACCTACGTTTTTTTATAGTGGCTTAGGAATCGTCTGATTGGTGAATCATGAATTGGCTATTAAATGACCAGCTGTGTTCCATCATAAGCATGTGATCCTCTCGAAATTAGTTTATAAATAAGCTTCACTTAATAATTTGTACCCCATTAAAAAAAAATCCCCATCCACAAGAAAATGTAAAAATCCCAAAAGTATCTGGATGCAGACTTGGATATATAACCTGAGACTGCATCCTGAGAGTAAAAATATTAAGATAGCACACGATCTGACATCAATCATAGAGGAAGACAGCGTGCAGTCTGATGTTGAGGTAAAATCTCTTACACAATATTAGTAGCTATGTTTACATCCAAAAATATAAATCAAACCTATGCACAAAACTTCTTATTGGATAAAGTTTTTAATGCACATTTTCAAATGTTATTCACATGTTGGCATCTCCAAATATAGCTACTGTAAACAAAGTTGCTATAAATCTTCACTCAAGTTGTAGTTTTCAAAAAGATTCAGTTTTAGTGACACTATACTCGTGTTTGTATGTGGAAAAATCCCCAAACTGCATAGAAAAAGCTGCAGCGTGAGGTTTAGAAAGTGGTCTTGTGTCTCTCTGCAGCTTTGTTGTTATTGTTGATCTTCAGTGTGTGATTATATGATGTCCAACATGTTTCGGTCAGTCTTTGGTGTCTCTACTATGACAGATGATGTTAAAGGGCTCAGGAGAGCGAACTATACCCACAATGCCATCCATGTCTATGGGTTTTGCATTGGGCGGCCAGGAAAAACGAATCCTCTGTAGGAGAGATGTGATGAACAAGAAGAGCTCCGTCCTTGCCAGCGTTTCACCCAGACAGGCCCTCGGTCCTGATAAAGCATACAGAAATCAATTCAGTAAATATTTATTGTGATAAAAGGCTTAGTTTACCTAAAAAATGAAATTTATCAAGTCCTTCCAAAGCATTGAGCTCTTGCTTCATCTTCTGATCGCAAATTAAGATACGGTAGATTAAGTCTGAGAGCTCCCTCATCCTCCATAGACAGCAACATTTAGAGACATTTGAAGTCCCAAAACAAATAACCCAAAAACAGACCAGATGCCCTCAAATAATGACTTTATTCAACAGCTTCTTCTCTGTGTCAGTATAGGATAGGGGTCACCAATCTCGATCCTGGAGGGCCGGCGTCCCTGCAGGGTTTATCTCCAACTTGCCTCAACACACCTGCATGGATGTTTCATGTATACCTAGTAAGAACTTGATTAGCTTCTTCAGGTGTGTTTGATTAGGGTTGGAACTAAAATCTGCAGGACAGCAACCCTCTAGGAACAAGTTTGGAGACCCCTTGTATAGGACATAGGTCTCAAACTCAACTTCTGGAGGGCCGCAGCTCTGCAGTTTTGCTTCAACCCTAATCAAACAAAGCCAATCCAAATAATCAAGGTGTTCAAGACTACTAAAGACTATTAAGCAGGTGTGAGTTGGAGATAGTTGGAGTTAAACTTTGTAGAGTTGCGGCCCTCCAGGAATTGAGATTGAGACCATTAGTACTAGGTGTGTGTTCACGATATGAGGGTATACTGTAAGTAGGCCCACACAGAATCAGATTTTTTTAGCCTGTTTTTGTACCTTTATGTAGTGTTTTTGTTTGGATTGCTCCAGTGAACTTAATTAAAATAATAACTATATTAATTTATTTTCTTATTATTTTCTTTTTCGTCCAAATAACATTATTAATAACCTTATAAAAGTATTTTTATAAGTATATGGGAAATGTGCATTTTTTGTTTTAAAATCAGTTTTATGTTGTGTGATGTCACTTCCCTCGGATTCTGTCCAGCTCTCGTCAGAACAGATTTGGACTTGAGTGAGACGGGTACGTTGTGAATGTGCTCCGGGGTTAAAATATAGCCGATTAAGTTAAAATTTTGTTCATATGAGTGGATGACATGTTTTGATGCTGGATTGAGTCGAATAGTGTGCCTGTTAAGCATTGTTTTTCAGTATATAATGACTTTGGTGTTATGAGCTGTTAATGACTTGGTTCAAGTTACCGTCCGCACCAATTTTTAAATGGCGAATTATATATTCATTAAATCATCATGCAGTTAAAATTGTCAATAAATAGTCATTTTATGTTCAGGTTGTGTCTTTGTAGTCATGTATTATCTTTGAGTTGTTAATCTGCTTCTTTCCCAGTGATGGGTTGCAGCTGGAAGGGCATCCGCTGTGTAAAAACGTGCTGGATAAGTTGGCGGTTCATTCCGCTGTGGTGACCCCGGATTAATAAAGGGACTAAGCCAAATGAATGAATGTTAATCTGCTTCAGTGTTAATGGGGACAGCGGTTCACTTTTCTCTTTATGCAACTCTCACAGAACAGAGAACTGAGAGTGTGTTTGTGTGGTGATTATCTCTGTCCTGTCTTTAATAAACTGCAGACGTGATCCACTAAAGCCAGTGGTGTTGGGGAATTCTTTATGATGAGAGACGAAGTCCGCTATATTTAACTGTCTCAGATTTCATCTAAAATATTTACATTTGTATTCAGAAGATAAACTTAAAGGTCTCAAGAGTTTGAAATGGCATGACGGGGAATAATTAATAACAGAATAATCCTTCTGGGTGAACTAAACATTTAAATCTGGTAAATACTTTCACAAACAGCTGACTCACCCAGTGAAAATGGAAAGAAATACTCTGGCTTGCTGAACTGTCCGTTCTCATCCAAGAAGTTCTCTGGGTTAAATGCATCAGGGTGTTTCCAGAGCTCCTTATCGCTGAACATTGCTGTAAAGTTTGCTATGATTGTAGTTCCCTGTGTGAGGAAAGTTGAATGAAACTTTTTAAAGATTAAATAGTTATTTTGCTTCCCCTATCTGAATACATGTACTGTATCATATGGTGAAATCTTTTAAGTGAAGTTTATTCATAAACTAATTTCGAGAGGATCACGTGCTTATGATTTATCACGGCCAGTCTCGCATTTGCTAATCACTATCTTCCAATCATATGAGCCCTAAGCTACTATAAATAGCCTCAGTTTTTAGTTCACTTTATTTTCACTTGGAAGAAACCCCCCTCCTCCCCTATTCTCCTCCTTTGCCTCTGATTGGGCGGCACGGCGGCCCAGTGGTTAGCACTGTGAGCCCCACAGCAAGAACACTGCCAGCCCTGGTTCCACAGGACCGGTGGGTGTTTCTGTGAGGAGTTTGTATGTCCTCCCCGTGTCCATGTGGGTTTTCCCCGGGTTCTCCGGTTTCCTCCCACCATCCAAAGACATTCAACATACATAACAATCAAGCTTTGTCTAATCCCTTGTGTTCCCTTAGCTACCGCAGCAGGGGAGTACTGAGATCCACCGAGCTCAGGCTTCTCTCTTGCTCTGCCAACGAGAGGAAGCCCCGGGCTCGAGGAGCCCTTGGGCTCTCTCCTGGGACAGCATGCCAAACAAGCTTTTTTAAATCATCAGCTAAGTGTGAACTCTTGAAATACATGATGATGCCTTTTCATGTTGTTGTTTTTTTCTTTAGTTTGTCATGTAGCCTCAAGGGATATGTCATCCCAAAATTAAAACTTGTTCAATTGTTTTCAAACCTTTATGATTTTATTTCTTCTGTTGAATGCAAAAGAAGGTATTTTGATGAAAGCTGTAAACATGTAACCACTGAAATCCACAGCAGGAGATATAAGAATTAAGGAAATCACTGGTTGTTAGTTTTTTTTATTTATTTTGTGTTCAACAGAAGAAAGAAACTCAAAGGTTTGAAACAAGGTAAAGTAAATTTTTGGGTCAACTATCCCTTTAAGTTGGCCACAAAATCTAAAAGAAAACACCAGGTAAAAACACCTTCATATTTACATCATGTGGGAAATCCTGAAAAATTTCTATTTAAAAAAGGGTAGTGTAAATTTTAAACAACTTCATCCACCCATGCTCCTTTTTTTACCTGAGGAATGTCGTATCCATGTAGTTTTGTGCGGCGAATTGTTTCATGCAACAATTTTGGTGCAATGTTTCCATATCGCTGAATCTCGTGAACAGTGGCGAGTGTGTACGGTAGTTTGTCACGGTCATCCATGCTGGGCAAGCGGTCGTAACCCAGAACCTGAACAATCTCCTCATGACATCGCTCTGTGTTGTGCGACAAATGGTTAGAAACAAAGGACCCAGCAAAAACAAGCGTTCCCTTACCATTTGGCTGTTTTTTGGAAATCAAATAAGAATATTATGGATTTATTTATTTATTTTTTTTTTTTTTGGTAACCAAAAACTAAACTTTCCAGAACTTTCCAGAATGTTCTAACAGCTTAAAAAACAACATAGAAGAGAACATATAATGCCATATAATTTCATAGCAATATCAATATAGATTAAAAAAACACTATTACATACAGAAAACAACATTAATGCAATAAGTGCTTATATAAAAAAGTACATTTAAAAATATCAGATGAATTTTCAGATTGATGTATGATAAATACCTTACAATTCTTCTCAGGGATACATTTTTAAAAACATAAATCAAAACATAAATCTCAATGTGAGGCGTTGGATAGCGGAGGGGTGTTGCGGACTTAAGTTAAGAGTCGGGGTGGAGTTGGTTGTCACAGACGAAAGTGAAGAGGGTTGGGGAGGCACAAAACAAAGTGAAAGTGAACATCGAATGGGGGAGGAGGGCAGGTGAGGAGGGGGATTGGTAAAATGAGGTGCTGGATCAGATTTCATAGGTGTCGCATCCGGTGTGTTCTGGCACAAATTAAGCCCTCTTTACTGTATATGTTGGTGGTGCAGTTTTACTTAAAATACTGCCATGCACACAACATCATGAGTGATATATCAGAGTTTAAAATCTGACAAATTGTTGGTGTGCATCTCGTTGGCACATCTGTGAACAAGACAGCAAATCTTTGCAATTATCAAGAGCCGCAATATCCAGAGTAATGTCAGCAAACCGCCAAGAATAAGATGCACATCCAACAGGAGTAACTGTGGACGCAAAAGCGAGCTGTCTGAAAGAGATGTCTGGGTGCTAACCCAGAGTGTATCCATAAAAAAACAGAAAACCACAGCTGCCCAATTCACTGTAGAATTAAATATACACCTGAACTCTCCTGCTTCCATCAAAAGTGTTCATCGGGATCTCGACACCGTTAATATTTATGGCCGAGCTGCTATTGTAACGGAGGCCAGCTAGTAAAGTTGGAGGCCACGGTCTTTAGCCCCCTTGGTCGATCAACCGACTCACATGCGGAAGGTCGCCAGTTCGATACTTGCTCACAGCGGGTTGGGTGGTGAAGGACTGGCGGGGTTACATTGGTGCCGTGACCTGGATGGGAGTGAGGTTTAGGGGGTGAGTGTAACGGAGGACAGCTAGTGAAGTGCTGTGCAGGCAAACCTCTGACCTCTAAAAGGTGCTCTAGTGACAGATGCTAGAGGCCATGGTCTTTAGCCTCCTTTGCAGAGCAACCGACTCCCGTGCGGAAGGTCGCCAGGTTAGATCCTGCTTAAAGCGGGTTGGGTGCTGTAGGACCGGCGGGTTTACACTATAGCCAAACTTATTGGTCACTTATGCCAATGGCAAATGTCTGTTTCAATGATGCCGGCTGTGAAAATCTTGGGCTGTGGACATGTGTTTTTCTTTGCCAATTCCAGCTTCACTGTCTCCCACATCTGGGAGAGTTACAGTGTGGAGAAGCCCCAAAGAAGTGTAACACTGTTGTATGCCCAGATTTAAGCACAGAGGTGGATCAGTGATGGTTTGGACTACAATATCATGACATTCCCTAGACCCAATACTTGTGCTAGACGGGCAAGTCAATGCCAAGGACTACCAAACCATTCTGGAGGACCGTGTGCACCCAATGTTGCAATGTCACCCGACTGTTTGGGCTTTCAGCTGTGACATTTACATTTCTGAACTAAATTGAACTGAATTAAACTGGAAACTGAACTGAATCCATTTCAATTTACTAGAACGTCATTTATGTTAAGCTGCTTTGACACAATCTAGATTGTAAAAAGCACTATAGAAATAAAGATTCTGAATTGGATAATGACCCGTATAAAGCTGCTTTAGTACCTTGTACATCTGGGTTTTGAATCAAGTAAATGAGTCCCCATCTGATGGTGGTTTCTGTGGTGTCGGTTCCAGCCAGAAACAGGTCAGATGTTGACACAACCAGGTGTTCTTCATGAAACGTGGAGTCTTTGTTAAACTTTTGCTGCTCGACGTAATAAAAAAAGTGTTAGTTTGCTGAAACAAAAACTAAATGAATACGTATGAGAAGCCTTCTTTCATGATCTCACTTTCTCGATCTCCAGTAGATAGGCATCAATGAAGTCTCGTGGACTGTCTGGATCCAGAGTTTGTTTGTGTTCTTTAGCTTCGTCTCGGATGAAATTAAATAAATCATCGGCGTTCTGCTTGATCTTCTGGTGTGGACCAGGGAAATGCTTGATGAAGGGGACTAAGTTGTAAATCTAAGACAGATAAACCAGTTATAAATATCAGTTAAACCTTTTAGTATTCAAAATAATATAATGTATAAGAAATAATATATAGAGAAATAGGTCTGTAAAGTTACAGAAAATGTATGGGCAGTTTATTACAAGGTTTTTGTAGCATCCCAGCAGGCACATAACATCATAAGACGTTAATATTAGGTTAGATTTAGGTCATGACGTCAGGTGACCAAAATTCAACGTCTAGCGTCAAATATACGTTAATATTTGGTTGATTTTAGATTGTGTCGGAAAATAACCAAAATCCAACATTCTAATACATGTCATAGTGGTAACGTCTACACAACGTCAAGGTGTAACATTATTAGACGTTGATATTTGGTTGATTTTAGGTTGGACATTGACGTCAACCCGATTTTTTTTTTAAAGCCAATGTCTCCACAACACTGGGGCACAACGTCAATATGATGTCATGCTGATATTCTGTGCCTCCAGCACAACATCATAATACACAACATCAACCCAGACAATATATCACTTTATACTATTAAAAATGTTAATAAAAATAACTTTTTCGAAGGTTAAAGGTTGTTTGAAGAAAGATTAAGGTCCCATGATGCAATCAAATGCAAAATAAAAACATGAAATACCAAATACATAACATCTTACATTTTGAATTTATAATCAAGGACACACTACTCTGGTATTTCTCATGGCAATGCAGACACAACTGATAAAGCTATGGAAGGGATGCATTGATAATTAAATTCTACCAAATTTTGGCTTTGGCAGATAATCAATTATTTAAAAAAAAAAACAAAAACAAAAAAAAAACTACAAGGATAAGGATGAAGATGCACAAAAAGAAAAATGAAGAGTTTGATCATACCTGTCCTGCAGCTGACCCTGTGAGCATGATGTTTTCATTCAGGATTTTCAGAAGGTATTCAAAGCGTTTGTTATCATACTCAAAGCGATCTCCAAACACGATGGAGCAGATAATGTTGGAAACAGCATTCTGTAGGGCATGCTGGGGATTCATTGACTTGCCTACAAAAGAAAAGAAAGAAACAATTTTTTTTTCAAAATAATTTGCAAAAATTAGCCTGAACCTTTAGTATACTAGAACACTTTTTATCACAAACCTTAAAATGTTTCCAAAACCAGCATGAACATTTCATACCTTCATCTTTGAGCATTTCAGCAATCAGATACTGGCTTTCCTCTAACACTCGATCCTCTACTGTTTTCTTCCCCAGACCAAAGTTTCTGAGTGTGTGCAGAGCGAACCGTCTCTGCTGCCTCCAAGAGTGGTTAAATGTGACCATTATTATACCTAAAAAAGAGAGAAACAGACCATCAGACATACATATCTTTAGCATATAGTTACATGGTGTAGCTGCCATCAGAAGCAATTCTCATATATTACACACTATAACATGCACTTTACAGATAAAAAGTCAAAAAAATTGTTAAAATGTTCAAGTAAGTATTAGAATAAGTAATGTATAAATGATGTTTATACATGTTAATTCTTTTAAAATTATTCAACTAAAACTATTGGGGGTGGGCGGCTATTTCTTGTTATGTTTAGCTTGAGAATTATTTCATTGTTGCAATCAAAATATTCTTCCGATGCACCTCTAGTACAGCCACAAGGTGTTGTACTAATAACGCTTGTAAGGATTAATAAGTACAAAGAAGAAACTGTAACCCTTCAAGTTTATTCCTCTTGAGTTAGAGAGGCCAATGAGGTATGTGTTGTATAGTGTTAACGTATGTGAACGTGTATTATGTGTCAGTATGTTAATGTATAGAGTTCCCACTTAGATATGCTTAACGTTTATAGCAGGTTTGGCATGCTGTCCCGGGAGAGAACCCTGAGCTCGGAGATATTTGAGCCCAAGGCTCCCGCCCGGTCAAATAAGCATATCGGGAGATCCGAGATCAGGTAGGTCTCGAGAGCTTCCCATTGGGAAAGGGAGGAAAAGGAGGAGATGGGGTGGAAGGGGGGATTCTTCCAAAACGAAGATAGAGCAGTAAGGAGAAAACGATCCATTTATTGTAAACTAAGATCACTCTGATTCTGGATTATTACTGATTACAGATGAGCAGCCAGTCGTGCTCAATCATATCATGTGCTCCTCTTGAAATGAGTTTTTGAGACTCCACTTAAGTGTATCTCCTTACATGTTGAATGTGCACTTTTTTATTGGTTGTATGTATTTTGTTCATTACATGCAACATCATCTTTTAAGGGTTAAATTAAGTATGAATTTCTTTTCGTAGTTCTGACGGCACTGTCTTTATTGACATAAAGAAATGCAAGGCTAGAATGTACAAGACATGCTACAGACTTGTGTACAAATAAATGTCAGTTAAAATCAAGAACGATATAAGCCTTTGTTTCATCTTGAGAGGACTAACACGTGGTTTAATTTTACTTCAAGTAGTTCCAGGCAGACAAAAATCCAATCAAACAATACAACATGTTTTAGATGAGATGAGAAACTAGTACTGCACACAAGCTGTCTGGGAGAAAAACTGAATTTCTTTAAATGCAAACTATAAGCATTGAATCATTTCTAATAATTAAATGGATCAGAGTCAATTATTCTACTTGTGTTATGGTTACCAAACCTAAAGATACATTTCTTGAAATGCAAACTATGAACATATAGAACATCAAGTAGAATAATTGACTCTGATCCCTTAAATTATTAGAAATGAATTCATGCTTCAACTTACAGCAATATTATTAATTTTTTATTACATTTCTATTAAATCCTCATTGGAAAGTATTGTTAATGAAAGTGTTACTGACCGAGTCCATGAGATATCCAGTCAAAAATAGGCAAAGCAGGTCTTCCAGAAAAAACATCCTGTACTAATGCTTCCTTAGCCAGTTGGATTGTATTGATGCTTATTGCTGGCTTTCTCCCAATAAACACAGTGGCCAATCCTCCATATTCAGACAACTGTTTGGAAAACATTTACAGCAGATTCAGTTTGTAAATGATTAAAAAAAGTACAACATGTAATACTTTTCCATTGAAAATGTTGTAACTGCACTTTATTTTTTATTTTAGTTTATGTAAAGGGCACTTATTGTGAAAAATCTACTTTTCAAGCTGTTTGGACAGACGTGTGTAAGTATAGTGTAAAGACTGTCATATTGGGGTGATATAAACACACACAGTCCTTTTTTTTCAATTTAACAACAGAAAAACGGTGGACTAATTGGAGCGGTTTTCAGAGCGACTGCAACTTGACGTGAAGTGCGGTCCTCCGCCCACCAAAATTAATTGACAGGCACGTATCTGTATTCTCAGGTTGTTGTTTCACGTCCGCCATTTTCAGCATGTGAGTCAAAGCGATATCTCTAAAGGAACACCCGTGCTCTATTTTTAGATGTAAGGCTCATTGGGCTCAACACAAGATCAATTTTCTCCACATTATCGCTGTAATCTGAATTATTGTTTGTACCTTTTGGTAGGTTTGCAAACGTGAACTTTTCATTGCGTCCACCTTAAACTTCAGCCGGTCGCATCACAGAAGCTCCCTGTGATCTTAACAGCTGGAAAAGTGCAAGCGCGTTGCCCGATGTGTGCGTCCCTCCATTGGAAATAAAATAACAAACTTGCCTGCAGGTCTCACACCAAAAGCGCCTTTTTGCGTGGCGCCGTGCATTTTGGAGTTCTGGGCGTGGGTTTCTGTCGGGGTGCACGCCGACTTGGGCCGCCGTTGTGTTTGCCCTGGTGTAGGCCTTTGTTTGGAGTTCTGGAATGCATGGCGCTGCGTGGCGCGTCGATTCGGGAAACTTCATGTTTCTGCCGCCCCACTGAGAGTATCTGGTGTGCCCTGTCGCGGCTTTGAGCAGCGCATCCGGTGCCTTAGTCAAAAATAATTCAGTGTGCGTGGTTATAAGTCTCGGTGTACAAGCTCGGCACTTGAAACTAGCAAACAGTTGGCTGTAAAACTATACAAAGACACAAATGATTGTGTACTCTGTGTCCGAGTTGACATGTACGGCTGAATGCTGATCCTCTCATGGAGCTTAGCTTCTCTCTGTCTGCCTGTCTGTTGCAAACACAGAGCGTGGGAGCTTTTGGCTCCGCCCCCTTGTTACGTTGGGCGGGAAGCCGAAACTAATTTTCATGTGAAGCAACACACGCCTAAAAACAGCGAGCTGTGTACACGTGCCCAACCTGACACTTTTTAACACATTGTAATAAACACCTCTGAACTGTGTTTTGAACTGAACCTAAACTGGCACACTCAGAAGAACCATAATATTAATATTTAATCTTAAAAAAAGAGGTAAACTATGTGCCCTTTAACTAAGGAAATCAAAACCAAGTAAACCGTGACACACACGCACACACACACACACACACACACACACACACACACACACACACACACAAAAAGTTATGTAAATTTTTATAGGTACAATTTTAGCAAATAATCAGTTATACATATATATATATATATATATATATATATATATATATATATATATATATATATATATATATATATATATTTTTTTTTTTTTTTTTTTTTTTTTTTTAATTATTTAATAATAATGTTTGAATTGAGTGAAATTAGGAATGTAGATTAAGATCTTACTTTATAATTGCTAATAAACAGCCAGTTTCTTAATAATAGACAGGTAATAGGCCAGCATAGTGGCAATTAATACTTAAACAAAATTGTTACATCATACAGTTGACTTAAAAAACAATGGAAAGTGAAGAAGACTAAAGTTCTCAAATTGTAAAAATGAAAGGTTTGCAGAGATAAGCGGGTCATTGGGCCAAGGGTGAACCAACAATGTACTATTAATTCATTCAATTATTTTAGATTGTGTTTGGTAAATTATCACACAATAAGCTGAATTTATCTGACATTATCAAGATAAATATGAGCTGACTGCAAAGAGTTTGTATATTTTAGCTCCATTTTTTTAACTACAGGCAAAACTGCTGTATAGCAAAAAAAAAAAAAAAATGCTGTATGAAATGGAGGTGGACTCTATTCAGATTAGAGACTTTTATTTTGATATTTGATTCTGGTGCAGCTAGTGAATTCCAATAGTATCTGGATGCAGCCTTTATGGTTTAAGCTGAGATTGCATAACTCAGCCATGCAATGTCAGACACAATGCACTTAATGGAGTGAGTGACGTCACTGTGATGGCTAGGGGTGGGGTTAGGTGAGCGCATAAAAAATTTCAATTGATAGAATAAGTTTATATATATATATATATATATATATATATATATATATATATATATATATATATATATATATATATATATATATATATATATATATATTATTATTATTATTATTATCTTACCTATGTATTTTTCTACCCCTGGCATCTGTTTATACTTTGTATAACTGAAAGAATTTATTTAATTTTATTTTATTTATTTTTATTATGTTCATAACTGTTGTAAGATGTATTCTCTTGTACTATGTTAGTAAATACTACAATAAAAAAAAAACAAACAAAAAAAACAAGCAACTCAGAGGCACGGGGCCTTCAAATTGCTTAAAAATAAAAAAAAGGTGAGCGCATTAAAAAGCATTGGATGCAGCTCAGGATGCACTGCACCCCTCTCGTGAATTTGGCAGAGGTGAGTGTCTGCAGCTCGGTATTTTGACAAATTAAGTTCTTATAGTGTGTAAAATGTATCAGTTTCAACATTTAAATATACCCGAGCCTATAAGCGCTTTTGTACGAATGTATTTGAATATAGCGTGAAGACTATGAGTATATTTGTGATATTTTTCAGGAATATGCAGAAAAACTGCTTTTATTCTAGCCAAAATAAAACAAATAAGACTTTCTCCTGAGGGAAAAATATAGGAAATACTATGGAAAAAAAATCTGCAATCTGTTCAGTAAAATTTGAAAAAGAATAAACATAGCATAGTATATTTTATATAGTATAATTTCAACTGCAGATATCAGCAACAATGTTAATTCATTAGTAATTCTCTCATTGCATTTTAGCCTTTTATATTGTTCTATTGTGTTTAATGCATAATGCTTAAGTTCACACTCTTTGTGTTGTGGAGAGCCCAGCCTATGTCAGTTTAAATGCTAATAAGCCTCTCCAGTGAATCAAAGGTCATTTAATACATGCAGTTCAAAAACCGCAGGAGATAACGGACCGGTTACAAATTGTGTCTGTGTGTGTTTGCTTTTACTATTTAATTTTAGGATTTAGTCAATCAACTTTTGGTTAAATTAAAAACAGATAAATGTTAATCCCTAACCAAGAAAACAGTAAAGACTTACAGATCTTTTGAAGCCCATCGGGTTCTTCAATAAATGTGGTAAGTTTCCCACAAAAGGCAGAGGTGTTGGACCAGGTGGAAATCGACCTTTGTATGAATAAATCCTGAAGATCTCAAACAGAACCAGAAAAATTAAGCCCAGGAACAGAGTCAAGCCCACAGAGGCCAAGTCTAACTTAAGGAGAGCCGCCAACATGATAACAGATTGAGTTCAAGACAGATACAAGAGCAGCAGAGGGTCAGGGGCTTCACAACAGGGCAACAAGGAGGAGGAGACTACAAAAAAAAAAAAAAAACAGTTTGACTTGCTGTTAACCCTTTCAGCTGTTATCAGATCACAGATGTGGAGAGTGCAAGCTATGTCACTTTGCGGGTTGTAAAAAAGCGTTACCCCTGTTTAACGGAGAGATTTTTTTTAACACATTTCTAAACATAATAGTTTTAATAACTCCTCTCTAATAAATGATTTTTTTTTCTTTGCCATGATGACAGTAAATAATATTTGACTAGATATTTTAAGACACTACTATACAGCTTAAAGTGACATTTAAAGGCTTAACTAGGTTGACTAGGCAGGTTAGGGTAATTAGGCAAGTTATCGTATAATGATGGTTTTTTCTGTAGATTATAAAAAATATTAAGCTTAAAGGGGCTAATCATTTTGGCCTTAAAATGGTTTTAAAAAATTAAAAACTGCTTTTATTCTGGCAGCAATAAAACAAAAGTAAAAAAATGATCAGACATACTGTGAACATTTCCTTGCTCTGTTAAACATCATTAGGAAAATATTTTAAAAAGAAAAAAAAAATTAAAAGGGGGCTAATAATTCTGACTGCAACTGTATGGGCTCTATTTTGACCAACCAAAGTGCAAAGCGCAGGTTGCAAACACATTAGGGCCGTGTCAGAATCCACTTTTGCAATTATAAGGACGAAAAAATCTGCTTTGCGCCGTGGCGCATGGTCTAACAAGGTTGAGCTTATTTTCTTAATGAGTTATAGGTGTGTTTTGAGAATAAACCAATCAAGAGTCTCATCTCCCATTCCCTTAAAGAACCAGTTGCGTTGCGCCATAAGCGCATTAGCTATTTACATGAAGGCTTTGTAAGTGGAAAAACTGAGCATTTCACAAGCAAGAAAAGAGCATCTACAGCACGAGAATAAGAGATAAGCCAATTCTCATTATCTACTTTAACTTTCGCTCTCATGGATAGGGAAACCTTGTACGCACAGACATCAATTAGCTTATGAATAATTAATTTTGTTTGTTAAGCGCAAATATTCGTTTCAAAACTGTTTCTGAATTCAGTTCTAATTTCCAGCAAACAAATAAATGAACAATAATAATGAAGTGTGTTCAAAAACCTGACTTATATCCTAATACACATGCTGTGCCCCATATGGTCTAAAACCTGACAGGTGGACAAATATAAGCTTGCTTTTAATAAAACAAATATAAATATGGATATGATAAATGTATGAATGAACTGAAAAAGCCTCCCGAGATGAAGAAGGCATGAAGGCAGTGGTTTTTATATTTATTTAGGCTAGAAAATAATGTTTGTAATATTTTAATTCTTTATATTTATATCCTATATATATCCTTATTATATCCTATATATATCCTTAATATTTAAATTCTTTTTCATGTGTAAAGATATTTGCCTATTGCTCTACATCTTGTGTGTATTAAGCAGTGTGTAAGTGCACAACTAACACACTCTACGCCAGACAATAGACCGGCTTTGTTCTGGTCTATTGAAAGTTCTATTATAGTTTCTCAAAATAGCAATGCGCCAGCAATGCGCCTCAACACGCCTTCCTTTTTAGACCAGAACGCCTATGGGCACACATATGAGCGCAAATGCATTTGCTATTTTAACAGCGTGGTGGAATACGTCAAAACGACTCTTGCGCCAAGCTAAAACAAGCAAACAACAATTGCGCCGTATCTTGCGCCGGGTGAAAGATTGGGTACGATATATCTTTAAAGCTGAATATCATCCTAAAGCTGAATAAGTGAGATTTTCATTGATGTATGATTTTTGTTAGGTGCCTGTGTGGCCTCCCACTTTGAGAACCATAGGTCTAGGTGGAGTTTGCGGAGATGTGTATCTGAAGCTGAAGAGGGAAAAGTTGCACTTTACATTACTACCCCCCCCCCAAAAAGCTCATTATACAAACCACACACACGAGGATAAATTTTATTACAAAATAAATTGTTTAATTAAAAAATTTTTAGAACAAAAATTAAATTTACCTTTCAAATTTTAATAGATAAACGAGCATGATCTTATGAGAAAACATAAGTATTTTACGTTTTGCCAGTTTAGTGGCTAATTCGTATAAATTCGTACGAGTTCAGTCGTATGAAATTGTACGATTTTAAAAAGGAGGCGTGGCACCTGACCCCACCCCTAAACCCAACTGTCATTGGGGGATGAGCAATTCGTACTAAATTGTTTGAAGTAGATTGTACGAATTCATACGAATTAGCCACTAAATCAAAAAGTTACGAATTGCCGTGAGATTGTGTTGGATAAACACATATCTGTGCTTAAACATATTAAGATAAATAAGTAAATTAACTGTTTTATTACTAAAATAATCAGAATTATCTTAGAAGAGTTAATTATACATTTAAGCCATGTCCACATGCACATGGTTGTTTTTTTTTGTTTGTTTTTTTTTAACAATTTCTACATATTTAAAGAATCCACATCCACATGAAAATGCAAAAATCCTGAAAAAGAGAGATGGCGGCACACAAGCTTACATCAAATAAAGGAGAAAACAGCCATGAGGTAAAATCTCCAACATAACACTGTAACCAGAGTTTCTGAAAATCCTCACCCTGCAATGGGTTTTCACAAATATTCATTTTCAATGACCTGATACTGCGTTAACATGAGGACAACTGGCCAAACTGCAAAGAAAAAGCTGTAGCCTGAGGTTTAGAAAGTGGTCTGGTGTGCCTCAGTGGCTTGTTGGTATTGTTGAGTTTTTGTGTGTGATTATATGATGTCTGATTTGTTTCAGATCACTTTACGTTGTCTCTGCTGTGGCAGACGACGTTAAAGGTCTGAGGAGAGCGAACAAGACCCATGATGCCATCCATGTCTATGGGCTTTGCGTCAGGTGGCCAGGAGAAACGAATCCTCTGTAGGAGAGCCGTGATGAACAAGAAGAGCTCCGTCCTCGCCAGTGTCTCACCCAGACAGACCCTCGGTCCTGATAAACATACACACATACATTCAGCAACTATTGCCTGTGCCTAAAGGGTTAGTTCACTCAAAAATAAAAATGCTTATGTCTTTCCAAACCCCTGAGCTCTTCATCTTCAGAAAATAATAAAATAATAATAACTCCCTACATTTATATTGCGCTTTTCTGGACACTCCTCATCCACCACCAGCATCCACCTGGATGATGCGACGGCAGCCATATTGCACCAGACCGCACACCAGCTGATTGGTGGAGAGTGATAAAGCCAATTATCATATGGGGATGGTTAGGAGGTCATGATGGACAGAGACCAGTGGGCAAATTTGACCAGGATGCCAGTGTTCAACCCCTACTCTTTTTCGAAGAACATCCTGGGATTTTTAGCGACCACAGAGAGTCAGGACTTCGGTTAACAATGTCATTCGAAAGACGGCGCTCACTGAGCAGTATAGAGTCCCTATCAGTATACAGAACGCAGGATGAGCACCCCCTGTTGGTCTCACTAACACCACTTCCGGCAGCAACCTGGCTTTCCCATGTGGTCACCCATCCTAGTACTGACCGGGCGCAGCCCTGCTTAGCTTCAGTGGGCGACCATATGAGATAATCCACAATTTGATGTACTCCACAAAACAGACCACATGCTTTTAGTGGTTAGACCTTAATCAGGCTAAAGTCACAACTGAACTGAACAAAAATTAAATTAAGACGTGGAGTATGCAGATGTAACCGTACTCTCTTTTGATCTGCATTGTGTAGTGAATGACGAGAGGACACCTTTTTGAGCCAGCAGAGAATGTTATTGTGATTTAGACAGATCGGCAGCTTTGCCAAACAGTTCAATTTTAGTTCCATCAGACCACAGGACATGTCTCCAAAAAATATTATTGTTCCCAGTGTAATTCAGCAAATTGTAAATGTTGATTCTGGCTTGTTGATTTTCCCATGTTGTCACACAAGAAAGCAGTGTGTTTGGGGTTTTCCTTAAATACTATTCTACAGTTGTGCCTCCAATTAACTCAAATGTTGTCGATTAGCCAATCAGAAACTTCAGAAACCTTGACACCATCATCTGAGCTTTTTCAGAGGCAGAATAATCTTATTGTATGTAAACTTGACTTTCAAGAAAGGTTTTACCAATTTCTCAAAAAATCTCTCATTATTCTGCTATTAAGCATATTAGAAACAAATTTGGGTAACACTTTACAATAAGCTTAGTTAATGCATTTGCTAACATGAACTAATCATGAACAACACATGTACAGCATTTATTAATCATAATTGAACATTTACTAATGCATTATTAACATCTAAGTCCATGCTTGTTAACATTAGTTAATGCACCATGAGTTAACATGAACTAACAATGAACTACTGTATTTTCATTAACTAACGTTAACTAACATGAGCAAATACAGTAGTAGATGTTTTTGTTCATTGTTTGTTCATGATAGTAAATGCATTAATTAACTTTAACTAATGAACCTTATTGTAAAGTGTGACCCAAATATGATAACTTACAAAGAAAAGAGAAAGTTTAGTCAAATTAACATCTGACTTTTTTTTTAATGGTTACGTGGTTTTTTTTACAGTGCATGTAAACTTTTGGTTTCAACTGTACATCTTTGCTAAAATATCAAGGTGAAAGTCATCATAGCTTGTGTAGAATAGACCTAGCTACCAACCCAACTTTGAGAATAGATTAACGGATATTTTTTTAATCGCCCGATAAGAGTGTCGTGTTAACGCAGATAATGGCCCACCACTAGTATACATTTTGAAAACGCACATTTAAAAATAAAGGTGTGCACACAACTGAGAAACTTTTTTCCACAATAAGAAAAGAATATACAAACACATATATCGAATAAATTCTAGTATGTGCATCAAAAGAGTCACGTGATTCTGTTTTAATAGATCACGTAATTATAAAAATGGGCTAGATGGAATGGCATTAGTTGACAAAACAACCAGAAAAACTTCTGAAATGTTGTTTTGCTTATTCTAAAATCCCTCAGACAAAATCAGTCATCACAGTGGTTTAGTATTATTATTATTTTTTTGCAATTTTTTTTTAATGCAATACTGTATTCCAGTTTTGCATACAAGTTTAATTTGAACCTTTTTATGAAAACGCAGCCAGTTCAGGGTGCACGCCTTAAGGCTGATTTATACTTCTATGTCAAGCGCACGCGTATGCTTTGGCGCAGCCTATGCGCCATGGCCGTCGACGTCGCTGACGTGCACCTCTCATAAAATGTAACTACACGTTGCAACAACGTGTAGTGCAAGTTCTGTGATTGGTCGGCTTGGTAGCGCTGACCAGTGTGGGTGGGACTGAGAGCCGCGCGAGCCCGATGGAGCGAGTGTTTACAAGTGTGGAGTCCCGTGAAGGAGCTCCAGATGGAAAGTTTTGTTTTGTGTATACCTCATGGTTAAAGTAGTTGCCATAGATATTTACATTAGATGTCGCCTACCCTGTTGTTGTCTATTATAAGGAAAGCATTAATAGAGCCGCCATTTTAGTACAGGGTAGCAATTACTTTGAAATGAATGCGGGACCAACCTGCAGTGGAGGTTTGTGGCCATCTAGATCCAGAGATATACACATATATACATATATGATCGGGAGTTTTCCAGCTGGTCATTATGCAAATATCTTTTTTAAATTACTATTATTAATATTACTGTAATATTTGCTTGCTTGTTACTATACCAGTACACAGCGCTAAAAGTCCAGTATCTTCACGTTGTCACACTTTCTTGACTAGTGCGGTTGAATGACATTTGTGTTGGAAGCACTGTACAAATGTGGCGACGCTATTGACGCATACTCAGGGTCCGTATGCGATATCTAGTGTATATATCTATGTGTTGTTGCTATATCACCGTCAACCATTTTCTCATAGGATGACAAACAATCAAGTTTTATTCATTAAGAAATTTAAAACTGTAGCAGTGTGTGGGTGCTCTGTGATTAAGGCAATTATAATAATCTACCGTTATTAATGAAATGTGTATATTCCATGCAAATTATGAAGCTGATTGGTTAGTTCTAGTCACATGACCCACTTGCTGTATTCTGACAAGTTGTGAAATAAGTGCGCTTGGAAAACGTGAGTCACAAATAACAAACTTACACACACAAAAGACGTGATATATGAACAGCCCCTTCTTCTGACACTAAGGAGAAGAAACTGCTGCACAAAGTTATTATTTTTATGTTTTAATTTTTATGTGCACACAAAAGTATTTTTGCAGCTTGATAATATTCTGACTGAACCGCTGCGGTCTATGGTAGATGAGGGAGCTCTCAGATTTCATCTGAAATATTTTAATTTGTGTTCAGAGGATGAACAAAGGTCTCCAGGGTTTGAAATGACATGAGAAGTAATGACAATTTTCATTTTTGGATGAACTAATCCTTTAAATATGTAATTAATTTGACAAACAGCTGACTCACCCAGTGAAAATGGAATGAAAGACTCCGGCTTGCTGAAGTGTCCGTTCTCATCCAGGAAATTCTCTGGGTTAAATGCATCGGGATGCTTCCAGTGCTCCTTATTGCTGAAAATTGCAGCTAAGTTTGTAAGAATTATAGTTCCCTGTATAAAAAAAAAGTTTGGCAAAGTATAATGATATTTTTCACAGATTAAATGGTTATTTTGTATGCCATATCCGAATACATTATGTTATCATATATCCTTCTGAGACCCCACCTATTGACCTCTGTAGTGGACATTGTGTTTTTATCAATTTTCTTTGACTTTTTTTGAGCTACTCTGGCAAGTCCTGTTGTACTGTTCAGAGGACATCCTGGGCTTTCTAGTGATTTGTCATTTGATTGGCTGGGAACCACTTCTTGCACTGCATCCAAAATGGCCGACATACAAAAAAGCTAATTTTATGGGAAGGAGACATGTATTTTACTATTATTATTACATATATATTTGTTTATTAAAGTGTCAGGAACAATACATTTAGCTTTCAAAGCTATTAACTTTAAAATAGTTATCAGCTTTTTTTGTGTGTGTTTTAAAATATCCTACTTTTTTAAATGACCACTATAGTGGACACCAGGACCATCTTAATGTAATTAATAACTGCATGTTGTAGGAGGCATAACTGAAGCAGAGAGGATTCTTTATAAAATAGTTGAGGGAGACTCTGATTTAGACTCTCAATTAGAGAATTAAAGACAATTAGAGAATGACAATCAGTTTTAAATCACTTTTATGGTAAATTAGATTTATGGTTTTGGATTAACATCATTTCTTTTTTTGTTTTTGTTTAGTTTTTTTGAGTCCGGCTCTCTTTCAGACTAAACTGTTTCAGAAATTTCTATAAAAGGCTTTTGTTTACTTTTTGTTACATAAATATTGGATTAATATCCCTTTACAGCCATATCCTGTACAGTTTTGTTGTCTGAGTGGCGGTCGTTTCAAACTAAAATGGTCCTGTGGTCCTTCACAGTGGACATGCTGTAAAATTAAAAACAAAATGTAAAAACTCTAAATTGTAGAATTTGTTTTTAACCCAATGGATGTAGGAAATCATAGAAGAAAAGAAAAACAGAAAAAAATTCTTCGGGTCTCAGGAGGATAATGTACTATTTTAGGGAGGTAAGTTGAAGCATTTGCATGCTTTTTTCTTTAGTGTGTTATAAAGCCTAGCTAAATTATTATTGTGCATGTACAAGATCTGCCAAGCTACACAGCTCAAAGTTGCTCACAAAAGGCTTTTTTCTGTCTAAAAAATGCCAAGTGAAGACATCTCAATCGTGTTTTCCCTCAATATCCATGTCACTATATGGGACGATATCTATGCAAAGAAAGCAAGTGATTTCAGGTTACATTACTCTTGTTGTATCATGCCCTGGAGTTTCTGTGTTTGTGCATGAAAAAAAGCACTTCAATTGAAGAAGGTTGATACCAAATTATTAGTGCTTTAGCTACATACGCTGAACAATTTTAAAGAGCATTACTTTTTTTAGACATTAGAAATCGCTGGTTATCTTCAAACAACGAATGATTCATGATGGCAAAATATAGTGGCATTCTCATTCAGATCAATAGCAACAGTATACTAGACTTGTCTATTCAAAGTAACTACAGTAACAAAACTTCAGCAAAGTTTGGAAGGCTGCAACAACTAATCCATAATTATCAATAATGAATTTTTTTGTTATTGAATGCTGTTGTAGTTGGAAATCGATCGAATATCGATTAGTGGGGCTGCTCACATGACTGTGGAGTAAACGAGATACACAGCCACCTCACATAATTGAAGGTAGAGAACTGGCTGCAGGAAAAATCACTCCCTAGCCCAAGACATGAAATATTTTGACATTAAGGGCTCTATTTTGACGGTCCATGCGCAGAGCGCAAAACGCAGGACGCAAACGCTTTCAGGGCGTGTCAGGAAGCGTTTTTGCTAATTTAAGGACGGGAAAATCCGCTTTGCGCCGTGGCGCATGGTCTAAAAGGGTTGAGTTTATTTTCTTAATGAGTTATAGGTGTGTTTTGAGAATAAACCAATTAGAGTCTCATCTCCCATTCCCTTTAAGAGTCAGCTGCGTCATGCCAAGAGCGCATTCGCTATTTACAGGACGCAAAGTAAGTCTAAGTGGAAAAAATTAGCATTTCACCAGCAAACAGTTACTGCTGTAAACTGTTAAACAGAGCATCTACTGCGTGAGAATGAGAGATAATGGATCTACTTTCACATTCGCTCTTGGATAGGGAAACCTTTACACACAGACATCAATTAGCCTATAAATAATTCATTGCGATTGTTAAGCGCAAATATTCGTTTCAAAACTATTTCTAAATTCAGTTCTAATTTCCAGCAAACGAATAAATGAACAATAATAACAAAGTGTGCTCAAAAAGCAGTGATTTTTCCTATTTATGTAGGCTAGAAAATAATGTTTTTTAATATTTTAATCCTTTATATTTATATCCTATATCTATTCTTATTATATCCTATATATATATCCTTAATATTTAAATTTTTTCATATGTAAAGATATTTGCCTATTGATCTCTTGTGCGTATTAAGCAGTGTGTAAGCGAGGCGCAACTCTGCGCTGGACTTTAGACTGGGTTTTGTTTTGGTCTTATGAAAAATCTATTTTAGTTTCTCAAAATAGCAACGCGCCAGCGGTCCGCCTCAGAACACCTCCTTTATAGACCAGAACGCCTATGGACACACAAATGAGCATTAATGCATTTGCTATTTAAACAGCGTAGAGCAATGCCTCAAAACGACTCTTGCGCCAAGCTGAAACTACCAAAAGACTATTGCGCCTTGCGCCACACTGCGCCAGGTCTATGATAGGGCCCTAAATGCCTCTTAGAAGATGGTAAGCTGCTTACTGCTAGGCACGACTGAGCTTTAGTGGCATAGAAGTAGTCTAATTTAGTCATCTTCATCATGTCAAAATGATCTAGTTTAAGTGTTTTTGTTTAAACTAAAGTTTACTTCGACATTAGAACTAGATCAATCCAGTTGAGATGGCTGTCTGGTTTTTAACTGAACTTCATTCACTGAGGCTCCATTTTTTATTTACCTGAGGAATGTTGTATCCATGTAGTTTTGTGGGTAGAATGGTTTGATGCATCACATTAGGAGCAATGTTTGCACAGCGCTGAATCTCGTAAACTGTGGCAAGAGTGTATGGTAGTTTGTCACGGTCATCCATGCTAGGCAAGCGGTCATAACCCAGAACCCGAACAATCTCCTCATGACATCTCTCTGTGTTAGGCGACAAAAGGTTAAAAGGGAAAAAAAGTTAAGGACCCATTAAACACAAAATATTATCCTAATGTCCCCATAATAATTATAATATTTAATAATTATTGATCATAAACATAATTTTAATAGTAATGTAGAGGTGGTTTATAAGAAAGCAAGTCAGCGCCTCTATCTTCTCTGCAAGTTGAGAAGTTTTAATGTTAGTACACAGATTTTAAACATGACATATAGATCATTGATAAATAGTGTTCTCACATGTAATATTGCTTCATGGTTTGGTAACACAACACTTAAACAGAAGAAGAAATTATCGCAAATTATCAATCAGGCAAATAAGATAACTGGTCACACACAACATTCATTACAGATTTTATTTGACTCCTTTATGGAAAAAACAGCAGTTGTGATTTTTAAAGATAATACACATCCCCTTCACTCAGCATTTGAATTGTTACCATCAGGACGCAGGTTTAGAATTCCTAAAGCACGAAGAAATGCTTGTAAAAAGTCATTTATCCCTGTGGCAACTGTTATATTAAATCGGATCACTGTTTGAAGTAAATGTAGCCAAGAATGATCTGCAGTATTTTTCATGAGGCTTATTTGATTTTTAAACGTTTAACTTATGTTGTTGTCTTGATGAATATTGTTATTGTGTGGTCGTTGTATGTTTGTAATTGTTGTCTTAAATCCAGTGTTGAAGACAATTTCCTTTCTGTGTCAAGCAGAACGGACAAAGTTTAAACTAAAAAAAAAAAAAAAAAATCTAACATATGGATACCATTTTGTTGTTTAATATTTAATAAAGAAAACTTTTGTTTGTAGTCTAAGGGATGAATTTAGCCTGGATACCCATTAATTTCCTATGGCGGTCACTTTTGACCGGGAACACCACAGGTGTAACAAGGCTGATTAAAACACTCAAAATTCAATGAAAGAGATGATCATCACTTTTATATTAATCTAGAAAAAACAAACAAAAAAATCGTTCTGGGGTGAGCTCAAATGTATGGTCGGTGCTCTTTGGGTAGGAAATTCATCAAAACAGCAACAAGAATCAGTCCAAGGCACTCGAATAAAGTGAAAAAATTAAAAAGCCTTTATTCACTTGGCTAAATCTCTAAAAACCTACGTTTCGGCAGAAGTCTGCCTTCATCAGGGTAACAGTGATCAGGTGCGTCTAGAGTCTCTTTTGAGTACTACGGTCACATGACTCATTTAAACATCTCAAATGGCACTCAAATAATTTAACAAGCAAAGTCTACTATCATCATAAATTCAGCATAGATACACAAACACCCACTTGCATATGTGGGAAAAGACCGAGAGAAGAAAAAATAAATAAAAATGGAAAATACATATAATTATACAAACACATACAATGTATAATGATAATCTGTAAAGCATCTATAGAAAAACTCATTCATTCATTCATTTTCTTGTCGGCCTAGTGCGACATCACTTTTATATCTGTGAATGCATAATGTTCGAATGCATAATGTGGAGGACATTATAAGGCCTTGAGGCAATCAGATGTAAAACACAATATTTATGAGTGATTTAAGTTGTAAATCGGTCAGATTTGACCCGAACAGAACTGGAAGGCTAGTTAACATGCTTAAATGGATTTGTGATAAGTGGCAATATAAAATCTTTTGTGTCCTTGTATATGAGGTTTAAGTTTTTGGACTCTTTTTGAAGAGCTCTGTTCTGAGATGACAGTGTCAGATTTGATGTCATTTGCTACTGTTTTTCATATACTTGAGACTTACAGTGAACAAAATTCTACCTGCTTACCTGCCAATCTATCAGTTTACAATGCAGATATGAGGGCATAAATTTCCATGCATGAACAAAGAATCTGTTCTGAGAATATTGGAATAGATGTGATTATTTTTTCTAGCTTACTTGAACCATACAGTGTAAATGCAGCCTAATAGACCACATGAATAATCCACATTGGAAGTGCAGCCAAACCCTGCTGAAAAATCCAGCTTAAACCAGCCTAGGATGGTTGGCTGGTTTTAGCTGGTCAACCAGCCTGATTTTAGAGGGGTTTCGGCCACTTCCAGGTGGGTTTCCAGTCATTTCCAGCCTGGTTTTAGCTGGACAGGCTAGGAGATGACCAGCTAAAACCAGCTTTACAAGCCTAGCCAGGTTGGGAGCCCAGCCAAAACCAGCTATGTCCAGCTTAAACCAGGATGGTCAAGCTGGTTTAAGATGGTTTTAGCTGGTCACTTTCCAGCCTGACTAGCTAAGACCAGGCTGGAAATGGCTAGAAACCAGCTTGGAAGTGGCTAAAACCCCTCTAAAACCTGGCTGATTGACCAGCTAAAACCAGCCAACCATCCTAGGCTGGTTTAAGCCAAAATCCCCACAATCAGAAATGGCTTGTAAGGGCCACAGATTACCCCATACAGATTCCATATAGCGTTTAATATGGCATAATGACCAATATAAATTTGCTTTAGTACCTTGTACATCTGGGTTTTGAATCAAGTTGATGAGTCCCCATCTGATGGTGGTTTCTGTGGTGTCGGTTCCAGCCAGAAACAGGTCAGATGCTGACACAACCAGGTTTTCTTCGTGAAACGTGGAGTCTTTGCTTGGCTTTTGCTGCTCCAGGTAAAAAAAAAAGTGTTAGTTTGCTGAAATAACAATTAAATGAATACGTATGAGAAGCCTTCTTTCATGATCTCACTTTCTCGATCTCTAGTAGATATGCATCAATGAAGTCTCGTGGACTGTCTGGATCCAGAGTTTGTTTGTGTTCTTTAGCTTCGTCTCGGATGAAACCTAATAATTCATCGGCGTTCTGCTTGATCTTCTGGTGTGGACCAGGGAAATGCTTGATGAAGGGGACTAAGTTGAAAATCTAAGACAGATAAACCACAATTAAACATTCTTAAATTGTCCATTGGAGGTTTATTTTGAAAATAATATTTTTCTATAAAGTTGCATAAAGAAAGACTAGATCATACCTGTCCTGCAGCTGATCCTGCGAGCATGATGTTTTCATTCAGGGTTTTCAGAAGGTATTCAAAGCGTTTGTTATCATACTCAAAGCGATCTCCAAATACGATGGAGCAGATGATGTTGGAAATGGCATTTTGTAGGGCATGCTGGGGATTCATTGACTTGCCTACAAACAAAAAAAGAGGCTATTTCCAATACAATATTATTTAGGCAATGGGAAATAAACAAAAAGAAGCCTGAACCTACAACACTTACTGAATACTACAACACTATCACAAATCCAAAATGCTTCATAAAACGATAGAAAGCACAGAAGAGCTTGTTTACATATGTACCTTCTTCTTTGAGCATTTCAGCAATTAGATGTCGGCTTTCCTCTAACACACGATCTTCTACTGTTTTTTTCCCCAGACCAAAGTTCCTGAGTGTGTGCAGAGCGAACCGTCTCTGCTGCCTCCACGAGTTGTTAAATGTGACCATCACGATACCTAAAAAAGAGAGAAACACACCTTCAAACCCACACATCTTTAGCATAATGCTTTCATTTAGCTCCCAAGAAGAACTGTACACTCAAAAATAAGGCTTACATTTCAGGGCTTGAAATTGCGACCATATGCGCCCGAAATTTAATCTACGCAACCTCATTATATATTTGGGAGCATTCGTGTGACTGCATATAGTGGTTGTGGTGCAAACTTTCTAAAGTCTTTTATGCCGCTGTATAAGTTCACATTAGCTGGCAATCTCTCAAGGCTTTCCGCTGTCAGATGATAGGGAGCTTTTGTGACGGCGGGAAATACAAATGGCCGAAGGGTGAAAAGCACACAGGTATGCAAACCCCACTTAAATTTACAAATATTAGCGCCGGTGACAGCGATCATGTGGTGAATGTTGATCCGTCTGCCGAGATCAATCAAGTGTTTGCGGAGAAGGTGCCAAAATGTCTACGCATTGCATTAACTGCGTGTTTAGCGCAAATGTCAGCTAGATTCGCACTCTATAACATCAGAAAGGTCCGACCCTTCCTATCTGAACATGCAGCTCAACTCCTTGTTCAAGCTCTTGTTCTCTCCAGACTGGACTATTGCAACTCTCTACTAGCCGGGCTCCCAGCTAACTCTATCAAACCTCTTCAGCTGCTTCAGAATGCAGCAGCACGAGTGGTCTTTAATGAACCTAAAAGAGCACATGTCACTCCACTGCTCATCCGTTTGCACTGGCTGCCAGTTGCTGCTCGCATCAAATTCAAAGCTCTGATGTTTGCTTACAAAGCGACCTCTGGCTTTGCTCCTTATCTGCTCTCACTTCTGCAGATTTATGTGCCCTCCAGAAACTTGCGTTCTGTAAATGAACGTCGCCTCGTGGTTCCATGCCAAAGAGGGAAGAAATCACTTTCTCGAACTCTCGCATTCAATCTGCCCAGTTGGTGGAATGAACTCCCTAACTGCATCAGTCACTCGCTATTTTCAAGAAACGACTAAAAACTCAACTATTTAGTCTCCACTTCCCTTCCTAATCTGCAATTGCCTCTCTGGCTCCACCGCTAACTGTACTACAGAAAAAATTTTTTTTACTAATGCTTTGCTTCTTACACTTTACATTCTGAAACTTGCCTACAGCACTTATTCATTGCTGCTCTTATAGTTGTGTAAATTGCTTCCTTGTCCTCATTTGTAAGTCGCTTTGAATAAAAGCATCTGCTAAATGTCTAAATGTAAATGTAAAATCTAACACTGTACACGTCATCGCCAAAGAAGCTCGCCTTTACTAAGTTTAAACTGAAACTTCTGCTTATAACTAAGGTATTCACTGGTGGTTATCGGACGAATCGGGGTCTGTGCCGCTATAGGGTCGACTGACTCGCCTGCTTTATTCCACAAACACAAAATAATATAAAACAGCGCATAACGAGACTGAGCATTTACAATGACACAAACCGAAACAAAAACCTTTAAAGAGAGGCAGAAGTGAGACTTTTTTACTTTTTATCCGTTCTTTCTTGAGATGTGTATTATTTTTCTATTTAGTTAACGTTACTGATGACTGCTTTGCAGCTTTCAGCATTGACTTGAATGATTTGTTATAGTCTTTCGTTTGTTTTGTAGCAGAAATATTACTTATTATTTATTTTGCCGGAAGTGGTGTTAGTGACATGCATTTAAAAACAATAGTACAAAATAAATATTTCTTACTGCAATGCTTCATTTTTGTTTGATAAATTAATTTTTATAAAGTAACAGTAGGACTTTTTATAGCATATTACTCGCATTCAAGCACATTCAAGGCAGCATGATCATGAGAAATGTAATTCATTGTTAGTATTATTGTCATCAATAAGACAATCTGAAGTTAAAGCTGGGCTGAAGACAATCACTTCTGTTTTACCCTCATTTAATAATAAAAAATTGTGGGACAGCCAGATTTTGATTTGTTAGTCCTGATTGATGTTGTATTCAAATAAAATAAATCCCTAATATACAATTTGCAGTGGTGCTCATTCATTTTTGGTGGGTGCTCCTAATTTTTTTCTGGTGCTCCTAAATAATTGATGTCGGAAGCACAGGTGCTACCAAATAAAAATGGTAATTTCAAGCCCTGCATTTGATCCAGACTGCAGGTCTACCTTAATTTAGTTCCTAAGCTAAATGTGTTATTTCACAGATACATCAGACAAAAAATACATCAAAACAAAATAACAGGTTTTAGCTGAGATAACAAACTATTACTACACACAGCTTGTGTGAGGAAAAAAAAGGACAAATGTCTTTAAATGCATAATATGAACAATGTGGTAACCACAGTACAAGCAGAATAATTGACTCTGGTCAATTGAATTATTAGAAAATAATGCATGCTTCGGATAATGGCCACATCCCCACTTCATGTGTGCATTATTTCAATAAATAATTAATAGGACCATCCTAAATGATTCCTTACATAAAGGATCTTGTCATAAAAAGTTGTAGTTTTAATACCTGTTCTCTGAAAAGTACTTCGAGGAAACAAAATGTTTTTCCATTACATTTCTATTAGGGCTGCACAATATATGGTTTCAGCATCGATATTGCAATGTACACACCCGCAATTCTTTACACAGCAGCATGTGCAAAGTCCAGTGTGCATTATAGCTGATAAGGTACCATATTTTACCATTGCAAAGTATATCCATAATGTTGTGAATGTTTCAAGACCTGTGACAATCAAGTAGATTCCAAGAGAATTTAAAGGCACAATACATTTTAAAACAAAGATTATATTTAAATATTTACGAGATGAAGAATATACAGGGATATTTTACTAAGTAATATTTGATTATTCAGGTTCTGTGCCTGAATACTGTATGACTTCTCAGAAAAACACACTTTATTTGATTTTAATTAGTCTATGCATGAGTGGCGGATTTAGGCATGGGCAGTATAGGAGATTGCCCAGGGCAACATCTTGCTGGAGGCGGCATGGGGAGGTGGTGCAAAAAAAAAAGTGCCCCAGTAAAAGTTGAGATAAGATTTACTTTATGCAAGTGTATTAATTTAGAGTGGTTATCACAGAATAAAGGTGTTAGGAGCTATACACATTTGGCGAGAGGGGTCTGGATGCAGATCTGGTGCAGTGCAATCTGAGCTGCATCCAATGCTTTTTAATGGGCTCACCTAACCCCATCCGTCACAGTGACGTCACTCGCTCCATTTGAGTGCATCGTGTCTGACATTGCATCGCTGAGTGATGCAATCTCAGCTTGAATCATAAAGGCTGCATCCAGATACTATTGCATTTGGCGTCTTTTGCACACGCACAAGTTTGTTATTCTTTATGTGCAACAGAAGCAGCCCTGGTGAAAGCAAATTGACGCATATGCGCAGAAAGCCATTCCCGTGCGCCTCACACACGCAGCTCCTGATCCCAGTTGTTTAAAAGCACACCGATATGCATTGACAAAACTAAAGTTTATATCATATTATGATGATGTTACTTTGACTAAGCATGGCTATGAAGCAGAAAGAAGGAATAATGCATCAGGGACATAACTAAGACATCATAACATTAGCGCTCAGCCATGAGTCGATCTAAGACGACAGATAATTCAATGAAACATATATTCTTTGTATTCTGTAGAACTGTCATAATTAATATTCATGCAAAAGTCTTAGAATATTACTCCAGTTGTGTCTTTACATTGTTGTTCAGTTACATTTAGAATTGATTTGTTATTTATTTAGAATAATAATTGTTAAAAATAATAAACAAATTGTTATATTTATTAAAAATAAATAAATTTAAATGTATTTAGAATAATTATTTTCAATGTTTATATTTAAAATGTATATTTAAATATTTTAAATATATATAAAGTCAACCACATAGTGTCTTTATTTCTTGGGGGACTGGGTAGGGGGTATGTTTGGGGTGGTTTCATTTAAACTAGAACCGGCACTGGTGCCCTCCATAACCATCCGAACCATTCCAAAATGACAAATTATTTCCAAAAAGAGCTATTCAAGTCATATGTTTGTGTATATATATCGGAATTATTATTTTTCAATATCGTGCAGCCTTATTTCTATAAAAACTCTTACACCTATTTTGGAAGAATTATTGTTAGGAGTGTTACTTACCGAGTCCATTAGTTATCCAGTCAAAAAGAGGTATAGCAGGTCTTCCAGAAAAAACATCCTGAACGTAGGCTTCCTTAGCGAGCTGGATTGTATTAAGCATTATTACCGGCTTTCTCCCAAAAAAGATAGTGGTCATTTCTCCATATTGAGGCATCTGTTTGGAAAACAATTAGGTTCAGGTTCAATGTGTTACAGAGAACTTTTCTCAACCTGTATGTAATACATTTCATTTTTCTTTAAAATACTTGCAACTGTTTTGTATTGTACTGAATTTTCTTTTTTTTTTTTTTTTTTACTGGTGGGCACAAGACAAGTTTTTATTATTATTATTTCAGCGAGGAAAGCTAAATGAAGCAAACACACCTATTTTATTAACAACAACAACAACTAAAAAACTTAGCTCACACTTAAGGGACAATCGGGTATATGCCGAGCTAGTGCAGTTCCCATGCTGATACACTTCCGGTGACCTGTTATTGAGAACTTTTTAACATTTTATACGGTTCCTTATACAGCATCAATGTTGTAATGTCATTAAAATACATTCAGTTAAATAAACTTTAGCATTTATTTAGTTGCTCAAGCGTAAAACGAGACAAAAAGCTATTTACTCGCACGCGCCCGTCAGAATCGACAGGCTAACGCAGAAGCTCCATTGAATATACTGGGGTAAAACAAATGCTCATATTATAAAGATATGGCGGGGGAAATGTAATGTAATACAGCGCTTCTTGTACAATCTGAGACCCACTTTAAATCGGATATTACTCAGCTAGTGGAGGTCGCTGATTTATAAAGAAAACAGACCTTAAACGCACCGGATTTTGCATTGGCATTCAATTTGACGAAAGGCTTAACCTAGGTTACTGGCAAATTAAAAGTCCTATTAGCATGCTTCGGCATATACCCCATTCTCAAGCCATTAACTAATTTTTTACCAACCAATTTGCTGTTTATAAATAGCTAGTAAGCAAGTTGGGTTGTATTGGGTAAGATCTGAAATGTAGAATAATGATCATACTTCATAAGTACTAATAAACAGTCTATATCTTAATAATAGACAGCAAATAAGCCAGCAATAAATTAGTTAAAACCAATGAAAGGGTTGAAAAATGAAAGGCTTGCAAAGATATGCCGTCATTACGCTAAGGCTGAACCAGAAAGTATTATTAGGCCTGTGTAAGATGTGTAATGTGAAAATATGTGTAAGCATATTATACATTGAATTATTTTTGGTTGTGTTCATATTGATTACTAAAGTTATCTGCATCATGATTAATTTGATCTGACAAGCTTTAGCCTACATGTTTTATCGTCATTTACTAATCTATATCGAATAAACTGTTACTGTAAGAAATGCAGGCGTCTGAATCATGTCTGAATCATTTTTGTTCACTGCAAAAAATGGTTTTCTTACTTAGATTTTTTATCTTGTTTCTAGTTCAAATATCTTAAAGTTCCTTAAATCAAGAAGCATTTTCTAGACAAGCAAAACATATTGTCTTGTTTTAAGAAATAATATTCCAAAATAGTTTTTCCTTAAATCAAGCAAAATAATCTGCCAATGAGGTAAGCAAAATAATCTTATAAATCGAAAAACAGCTGATTATTTTGCTTGATTTAAGGAAAAGCTCACTTCATTTTGGCATATTATTTCTTAAAACAAGACAACATGTTTTGCTTGTCAAAAAAATGCTTCTTGCTTTTAGAATTTGTAGATATTTGGACTCGAAACAAGACAAAAAAATCTAAGTAAGAAAAGCCTTTTTTGCAGTGTTTTGACTGGACGCTTTTCCGCCTAGAGACTTTTATTTTGATATTTGATTCTGGCGCTGCTGTGACTACGCACCTGTTCGGCTGAGGTAAGTGTCTTTCCGCTCGTTATTTTATAAAATTAAGTTCTCAACGTGTATTAACTGAACTCATGTAATCAGAAACACGAGTATATACTGTACATTTATAGTATATGAATTTGAGTAGCGCTAGAGCTGCGTTATTTTGCACTATAGCCAGCTAATGATTGCGTTCAGGGGCACGCAGATATAAAGAGCCCTGACAGATGTACACCAGCAATATTGTTAATCCATCAGTAATTATCTCTGATTGTGTTTTAGCCTTTTATAATTGTCTGTTGTGTTAGTTACTCTGTTGTAATGCAGGAGTTTACACACTGTTGTGGTGGGCACTGCCTATGTCAGTTTACATACTAATAAACCTCTTCAGTAAAGCAAAGGTCATATAATACACGCAGTGTAAAAACAGCAAGTGATAACAGACCGGTTACAAATGTGTTTGTAGCAGGTGTGTGGTGTTCAGAATTAAAAAAAAAAAAAAACTACTTTTGGGTGAACTAATAACATTTAAATGTTAAACCCCAACCAAGAAACCAGCAAAGACTTACGGATCTTATGAACTCCATTGGGCTCTTCAAGAAATGTGGTAAGTTTCCCACAAAAGGCAGAGGTGTTGGACCAGGAGGAAATCGACCTTTGTAGGAATGAATCCTGAAGATCTCAAACAGAACCAGAAAAATCAAACCCAGGAACAGGGTTAAGCCTACAGAGGCCAAGTCTAACTTCACAAGACCCACTAACATGATGACAGATTGAGTTCGGGACAAACACAAGAGCAGCAGAAAGTCAGGAGCTTTAAAAACAGAGGAAGAGGGAGGAGACAGAAAGAGAGTTTGACTTGCTGTTAACCCTTTCAGCTGTCAGCAGATTGCTGATGTGGAGAATGGTAAATGCCAGCTGAAAATGTCAAGAAAAAAAATACAAAAATTATTTATGATTATAAATGATTAATTATCTATATGATTATCTACAGTTGAAGTCAGAATTATTACCCCCCCCCCCCAAATCATTAGCCCCCTGTTTATTTTTCCCCCCAATTTCTGTTTAACACAGAGATTTTTCAAAATACCTACCTATCTATCTATCTATCTATCTATCTATCTATCTATCTATCTATCTATCTATCTATCTATCTATCTATCTATCTATCTATCTATCTATCTATCTATCTATCTATCTATGTGTGTGTGTATATATATATATATATATATATATATATATATATATATATACACACACACACACACACACAAATATAATAGTTTTAATAACTCATTTCTTTATTTAGAATAAGATACAAAATCAATGTATGAAGTGAAATAGACAAAGGGCTCTATTTTGACGGTCCATGCGCAGGGCGCAAACGCTTGTCGGATCAAGTTACGGTTTTTAAGTCACAAACTTTTGGTTTCAACAAACAGTATTTGAAACCTGTAATTTTATTAAAAACAAAATGATGAAATAAACAGCTGAATAAAAATAAATTGTAAACTGCAACACTGAAAATTATCTTCACCACTGTTTTTTAAAAATATAAAAGTAACATAATATTTTGTGCAACACATCATATTTAGTTTTAAAGTTTTAATGAATGATCCAGTAACTCGCTCAAAAAAACATGCTTCGTTACTAGACGTTTCATTTTTGAAGAATCATTCATCGGCATATATTTGATTGCTGGTTAAATCAAATAATTGCTGCCTATAATTTTCATTTTGAGTGTCATGTTAAAGGCACATTAAATAGTGATTTTAATCTTTTCAATAAACACCAATGTTTATATCTCAACTATAAACTTATCCCAGTACTTCTGTGTTAATTGTTTGTAACTTTATAACTAACTCAAAAGACCGAAACTCTCGATCAAACGCAGGTTTGAATGCAACTCTTCAAAGGATTAATAAACATAAGCAAATCCCCATCATTTATAATGAGTTTTTCATGGGTGTTTGAATTGAGATTGATTATTTGTGCAGCTATAAACAAAATGCATTTATGCAGGATAAACAAGTAGTGACAGAAAACAACTTTTATAAAGCCTTTAGGTGCCACCACAACCTTTTTTAATTATTAAATTTGCAGAAATGACCAAATGTTTTCATACATGTGGTTTGAATGAAAAGCCCTCTTTCCAATTATACATATGGTGGATTTAGTTTACAAGGAAAAAGGCTATTAATCCATGTGTTATGTGCATGTCAAACCATAGGTTGTGATTTTTACACCACCAGTGATGTCATTCTTCCTGAATGATGTGATTCTTTATCTAGCTTTTGTGAAAAACCTTAAATCCAGAGTACAAAATGCACATCACGTGTCCATACACGCACTCTGGCATGCACTAAAAGTTACCTCAGTGTATTCAGGGGTCTGAGCTCCAAGCAGCTCTTAGATCTTAATTAAAACTTTCAGAAACATGCATCTTATTATAAATTCTTGTTTCCTACAGTATCCTCCATGAGCTTTAAAGTTGCCTGGGAAAAAAGATTTGGGAATCGACTCTCTGCAGACACATATGGGAAAATTGTTTGACTTCATTACAATCATGCTCAGTCAACAGCAGACACCAACTGATACAATTCAAGGTCATACATTGTCTACACTACACTAAAGCCAAGCTCCATAAAATCTTTCCTTCTGTCTCACCAATGTGCGATAGATGCAAAATAGCAGAGGACACGGTTGCTCATGCTTTTTTGCTCTGTCCCCTACTGAACAGACTCTGGACCAACATATTTGACTGGTACTCCAAGGCTTATAGTACACTTTTTCTGCCAGATGCCGAACTTGCTATTTTTGGATTTTTACAAAAACACATTTTCTGTCCCTCAAACAGTGCAAGACTCTTTAGTGCAAGGCATGGTGGTGGCTAAAAGACTATTGCTTAATAACTGAAAATCACCGTTACCTCCCTCATTCCAGAACTGGATTTCTGATATGAAGACTGTTATTCAGATGGAGAGACTTAGATTTTTAGGGACTAGCTCCCCGAGAAAATTTTTGGGTACTTGGGGTCAATTTCCTCATTTATTTGACAAATCTACATCTCAAGAGCAATCCACTAACCGGTTTAAACAATACACCCTCTCTAGTTTTGATTGTATGTTTTGTGACTATGATGCATGTTTTTTTTTTTTTTGTCTCTTTTTTTTTGTTGTTTTCTTTTATATTGTCTTTTGTTTGTCTAAAGTACGAGCCAATGTTTGTTCTTGTTCTGTGTGTACATATATATATAAATTATGCTTAAAATAAAGTAATTAAAAATAAAAAAAACAGTAGTTTTCAGCCACTGCATGACATCTGCTGTTTGAAGGGAATGAAACAGCCGTATTTCAAAAATCCTGTTTATTTTTGCAAAGGGAAAAAAGAAGATTAAACCTATCGGGACGACTGTTGGGAAATCATTCTACTTTATACACTTGTCCTGTGATGGAAAACTGGACAATGCAATAAACCAATGATTGAATACTGTAGAGGGGTGTCACGGTGGCGCAATGGGTAGCACGATTGCCTCACAGCAAGAAGGTTTCTGGTTTGAGCCCCAGCTGGGTCAGTTGACATGTCTGTGTGGAGTTTGCATATTCTCACTGTGTTCGCGTGGGTTTCCTCCAAGTGCTCCGGTGTCCCCCACAGTCCAAAGACATGGGGTACAGGTGAACTGGGTAGGCTAAATTGGCCGTAGTTTGTGTGTGTGTGTGTGTGTGTGTGAACGCAAGAGTATATGGGTGTTTCCAAGTGTTGGGTAGGGTATCCACTGCATAAAACATATACTGGTTAAGTTGGTGGTTCATTCCGCTGTGGTGACCCCTGATTATTAAAGGGAGTAAGATGAAAAGAAAATGAATGAATGAATACTGCAGAACAATAATGGGGATCATTGATACTGGAGGGCTAATGTCCCCTGCAGATCTCAGCTAAGTTGTGTTTGTAGGTTGGAGCTTAACTTTGCAGGGACATCGGTCCCACAAGATCAACATTCCCCGTTACTGCTGTAGAATGTTGAGATCTCGTGATCATCTTTGTAGTCACGAAGAACATTTTATCAGGGGCAATAGGCACTCTGGAGGTAAAGAAAGACTTCTGTTTGTTGAATAAGGGTGGGATTTGAACTAGTAGGTCATCGTTGCCTCAGGGTCTAGTATTGATGAGTGGAATTTAAAGAATGACCTGTGAAGACCCAGCCACACCTTCTTATAGAGACAGAAGGCATTGTATCAGAACCCGAAGGCCACAGCCACTGGGCACAGTCCAACCTGCTCCATGACCAAAAAAATGTCAGCTTTGTACCTGATTTATCAGGGGTTGCCACAATGGAATGACCCACCAACTACTCTAGCATATGTTATACGCAGTGGATGCCCTTCCAGCCTCAATCAAGTACTGGGAAAGTACACTCAAGTACACTCACTCCCATGCATACTACTGCCAATTTAGTTCATCCAATTCACCTGTACCACATGTCTTTGTACTGTGGGAGAAACCAGAGCACCTGAAGGAAACCCATGCCAACACGGGGAGAACATGCAAACTCCACACAGAAATGCCAACTGGCCCAACCGGGACTAGAACCAGCAACCTTCATGCTCTGAGGCCAACTACTGAGCCATCGTGCTGCCCTCCCACACAATAGACCTGCATATTATGTCTGAGTGGCCCTCAGATTGCATAATTTTGCAATAATCAAATGGACAAAAGGAAGAGGGAGGAGACAGCGAGAGTTTGAATAGTTAACCCTTTCATCTGTTCTTAGATCACTGATGTGGAGAACAAAAAGCAATTGTAATGGAAAAAAAAATTACAGAAATAATTTATCTATATACATCTGTAACTTTCAAATGGATTTAAAAATACAACATTAAAATAGAATAAACTATATTACCGTAAATTACATATACACAAAATTACATTAGTGTTCATGGACCACAAAACCAATCATGAGTATGTTTTTGTAAACTGAGATTCATACATCATCTTATAGCTGAAAAGACCAGCTTTCCATTAATGTATGATTTATGTTAGGATATGACTATATTTAGTTGATTTATGACTATTTGAATAATCAGAATCAGAGGATTAAGAAAAATAACACATTAAGAAAACCACCTGTTGTCGAAATTCAGTTTTTTAATAATTGAAAATTGAGTTTTGTCTAAAAAAAAAAAAAATATGTTAACAGCCACAGTTGTAACTGGTTTATTAAATAAAATCTTTTGATCGTGACAATGAAGAGACAAGTTTAGTGTCCAATAATTACATGTGCACAGTACACACACATACCAATACAATTCTGACTATCCAGTGTGTGTTTAGGAGTTCTAAGGAATGAAATAAATATCAAAATTGCCGAAAAAAATTGCCGTGATGAAAAAGGTGACTATCCTTTTTTAACCCTACAGATCTTTGATTCACGTGAATGACCATTTTCAAGATGAAAATAGTGATTTTTGCCAAAATGTGTCAAGTTTGCAACACTGATATAAGGAAAAGGGCCCACAGTGGCTTCTCCTACGTCATCAAAATGGTAAGAATTTTTTCATAATCGTGTGAACTATCCTTTTAAAATGAATTGATTGTAAAAGAATGCTGATCAAAATAAACACATTCAGATCATCAGCCACTTTGATTGCATATGTCTATAAGCCCCTTTCACACAGTGATACCGGTAAATATCCGGAAAATTTACGGAACGACTTTACCGGTATATTCAAAAAAGCGCTGTTCACACAGGCGAGGACGTTACGGAATTTTTCCGGAAAAGAGCATTCACACAT